GGTTGCATGGCCTGCTGCCAAGGTGACAGCCAACATGCCCAGCCAGTTGGGAGATGCAAGTGCCCTGTCAAGGCCCACAGATACACATTTCAGCACTCCCATCTGCCTGTTCTTTTGGCTCTGGACTGGTTTTAGCAAGCTGCCTGACATATTAAATTTCACACAGTAATCTGAGAGGTACTGAGCAGAAGTACTACTTAGCTCCATAAGATTGTACTTCATGCCAACAATTCGATACACACATACTTAGGAGTAAGTACCATTGATTTCAATGATAAGGTTAAGTAGTTTTTCAACTCTTCTAGCTTTTAGAATGACTCACTTACTTGATACATGTATTGGAGAGCTTTCAATGTGAGATATTTAAGGGGTGATTTTGCCAGTTACACCCTCCCAACAAGTGAATTTCCATGTCTGAACAGGAATCTGAATCAAGTCTCCCAAGTCCTAGTCCTACCCACCACACCACTCTGGACTAGGACTTTATGACAATGTGCTAACTCAAACTTCTTTTGCGTTAGCACATTGTCAGTAGCCCTAGGTACTGTGTGTGCTGTAACTATATCCATCCCTTGACAAATACATACAAATAGATAATAATTTCAGTAGCAATACCAGAAGTTAGAGATCCATGATTCTGAGACTATATTATTTTCTATTCATAGCTGATAAGTATGGGACACATAAACAAAAATATTTTTAATAAAAACATTTTAAAATTATATAAGGCCTTTTAAAATGATCTTTTTTCTTTTTCTCAATACAAATTCTGCCAGCAATCAAGCTTACCAACAGAAGATGAAACTCTAGGGTAGTTGATTTACACACAGTTGTTATAAAGAACCAACAGACTCTTGTTCAACGTAGAGGATTTTTTAGGCCTTGTTCAGCCTGACCTGCTAAATCTTATGTTATTTACAAGTAATATTAATGTAATGCCAAACCTGAATGATGAGTAAATGTAAGAACATAAGAAGAGCCCTGCTGGATCAAGCCAAGGGTCCATCTAGTCCAGCTTCCTGTATCTCACAGTGGCCCCAACAGATGCCTCTGGGAGCACATGAGACAACTAGATCCCTGTCTCCAGATACTACACTCCTGCATCTGGCATTTTTAAGTACCCTCCTTTTAAGCCTGGAGATTCTACATCCCCATCAGGGCTTGTAACCTGCAATGGACTTTTCCTCCAGGAATCTGTCCAATCCTCTTTTAAAGGCATCTAGGTCAGATGCCATCACCACATCCTGTGGCAAGGAGGGGAAAGGAATATTTTCTTTTGTTTATTCTCTCTACCAACGCTCAGTTTGAGTGGATGTCCCCTGCTTCTAGTATTGCGTGGCAGGGAAAAGAGCTTCCCTCTATCCACTTTATCCATGTCCCACATAATTTCATACGTCTCAGTCATGTCCCCACTCAGGTGCCTTTTCTCTAGACTAAAGAGCCCCAAACGCTGTAGCCATTCCTCAAAAGGGAGGTGCCCCAGCCCAGTCATCATTTTAGTCACTCTCCTCTGTACCTTTTCCAGTTCTACTATGTCTTTTTTGAGGTGCAGTGACCAGAACTGTACGCAATACTTCAGGTGGGGCCTTACCAGTGTTTCGTACAATGGCATTATAATGTTTGCTGTTTTATTTTCAGTCCCCTTTTTAATGATACCTAGCATGGAATTGGCCTTCCTTACTGCCGCCGCACACTGGATCGACACTTTAAATGAGCTGTCCACCAGCACACCAAGTTCTCTTTCCTGATCTGTCACAGATAGCTCAGAACCCACAGCTGATATATAAAGCTGTGCCTTACTTTTCTTATACTGAAATTCATTTGCCATTTTGCCGCCCATTCTCCCAGTTTGGACAGAGCCTTCTGGAGCTCTTCACAATCCCTTCTGGTCTTCACCAGCCAGAAGTTTCGTGTCATATGCAAACTTGGCCACCTCACTGCTTATCTCCGTCTCCAGGTCATTTATGAACAGGTTGAAAAGCACCACTCTCAGGACAAATCCCTGGGGCACACCGCTCTTCACGTCTCTCCATTGTGAAAGGAAAGTTACCGATCACTACCTTTTTGTACTGAAAAGCTGTGTTAGCACGCACCCAAGCTTTCTTATTAAGCATGGGTTCTATAATTAATCCATTTACCCAGACTGTCCATTCCCTAATCAAAGTGTATTAGTATCTAAACCTGTGTAATTGATTTGTTATTAAAATATACTTAAATGCAGTTGTGTTGGTTTATACTGAAGCCTTTCCCTCTAATACCATTACATCTCATTCTTTATATCAGACCCACCTTCCTCCACTTCATGCCCTCCCTGTACTATGGACTACAACTATCCAAATGCTTGCCATTAGCCATGTTTAGTTCTTTCTTTATATAATTTCTGGTCACCCTGCAACAATAGTTGCGTATTACAGAATAGTCCCATTTTAGTTCCTTGGTAAGAGTATATAATTTTAAAAAGCACATAGTAAAACAATTTAACACAGCTTCTTTTATGAAAACTTGTAAGTGTACTTGGTGATGCATACTGAAGCACCAATACGTACAATCAGTTTAAAATATACTATAGACTAGATCCAGACTTAATTTCAACAAGTCTGCTGTATTCATGACTAAGTCTGAATGTAACCCATTGCCTATATTAATCCTCTTCGCACCCAGAATTATGGGATTTGTGTGTTTTGTGTGTTGAGTATCAGTTGGAAAAGAAAACCACAAAAATAACAGAAGTTAGAATGAAGCACGACATAGGTGCTTTATAAAGCAGACTGACTCGAATCCAAACAGGAACACTCCTGTCAGGAAGTGAGGACATGCAACACCTTGTTGCTGGTCACACTTGTATTTTCTAGCATTCAGTCATGGAGAAATGTTTTACATCTCAAGCAACTTTTTAAAATGTTGCTTGAAAGGTTCATGGAAACATGAATTAATATTTTGAATATGATATGCTGAATTAATATTTTGCTTTCAATCTAACTTCGTGCAGACATATTTCTGAAGTAATTTCCTTCTTAGTTCCACCTACAGTGCACATGTAAAATTTGGTAAATGGGGTTGGCTAACTATCTTGCCAAGTGAGGGGAATCATAGTATGTCTGTGCTGATCAGATGTAGAAAAAGTGGTGACTGGTGAGATTTTTCTCTAGAGAAATGCCAAAAGACCTTATAAACATATTAGTCATTCCTTACAAACCATAATACTGTACTGTATTAAGGCTTGCCTGTATGAATACACATACTCAGTGAAATATTTGTCATTACACTTTAATGCCAGCTTCAGACATACAGTTAATTTCAGTGAGAGGCTGTATCTGTTTACATTTAGTCTAACCATAGCCAAAATCCTGTTGCTTAGTAAATTGCACTAGTGTGCATATGTGTGCCATCAAGTTGATTCTGACACATGGTGTCCCTTTCCAGGGTTTTCTAGGCAGAAAATACACAGGAGTGGACTTGCTCTTGTGTTTGGCATGCCAGAGATATAGACTTAAGCTCTGATAGAGTTTTCAGACTAATGTAGACTTTAATGACAAATGGCCCATATCCAAACTGATTTGGCGGCTCAACTCTTCCATAGGTTCCACTGATTCAAACGGACCTACTCTTTAACTGCAGTTAAAGTAAACTCATTTGAATCAATGGAGCATATGGACAACCTCATTCACTCAACAGGCCTACTCTAGTGTGATTTACTACACTTAGTAACAGGATTTTGGCCAATTAATTTTTAAAATTTTTTGTCCCAATTAAGTGTAATTCTTTTCCATTTAATTTTGGAACATATTTTAAAAATGGACCACAGGTCATACAATAGATAAAACAGATAAACATTTTTTAAAAATATTAAAACATATTGGGGAAAAGTTATGTGCAATGGTAGATAGCTGGTGAAATTCCAGACCTAAGAAGATACAGAAACAGTCTGAATTTGGCCCAAGCAATTTGAATATGGGCCATTTGTCTGCTCATAAAAGTCTACATTCGTCGGAAAACACTATCTACAGATCTCTAGCAAGTCAAACACAAGAGCAAGTCCCTGAGCTTCAACAGCTCCATGTAAGGCTGGAAACCCCAGTCTTCAAAATTCTACTGCTTCTTCTCCTATCTATATTACCTGTCTGTATACAGAGTTTTTTTGAGAGTTACTCCCTGTGGAAACAATATTCAGTGCCACCCATTAGTAGGGCAACTGTGCCCTTGACACACAGCCTCACTTTCATCTCATGAACAAATTACTGTACAATACCTGACTTGTGTGTTTGTTATTTTTATGCAAAGGGGAATCATCTGAGACGAATGAACAGTGAAGCATCACTTCAGAGGAAGGCACTGCCTACTAAATGCCCTTAGCAAAGATACCACACTGGTGGTGGTGCTGGTGGGACTAATAATTCTCCCCCCCCCTTTGTTTCAGAAGAAAGACCAGTTACTGTCAATCTCTGTGTGTGTGTGTGTGTGTGTGTGTCTCTGTGTGTGAGAGACAGATAGAGAGAGAGACTGGCAGTTACTGTCAATCTGCAGATACAT